GCCGCGCCGCGGGCTGCGGGCGCCGGCTCACTCGGCCCGCATGGCCTGGCCCGGCCCGCCGCCCCGCGCCAAGCTCTCCCCGCGGCGCCCGCGCAATGGCGCCGGCCCCCGCTCCGGCTCCGGCTCCGGTTCGGCTCAGAACGGCCCCGGCGGCGGCGGCGGCAGCGGCGGCGCCCGTGACGGATCAATCACGCTGGGAAGGGGTGGGAGCGAGGAGTGCGGGAGGCGGGGAGGAAGCGAGCAAACGCGGAGAGGGGGGCCAGCGTCTCTGCGCGCGCCTCCCTCCCGCACCGCCGCCCCGAACCCGGCCGCCTCCGCCCGCCCCCGTGCGCGCTCGGAGCCGCTCTCCCGCCGGGAGCCTCTCGGCGGCAGCTCCCGGAGCGGGGCCGGGGGAGGGCGAGCGGCAGGAAACGCGGGAGGCGAAGGCGAGGCTGCCCAGCGAGGCTCGGGCCGCCTCCGGGGACGAGGACAAGCCGTGCGCGCTGGGGAAGGGGGAGGCGCCGGCGCTGCGGCTGCGGCGGGGAGGGCTGCCTTCCCAGCACACGCACACGCGCCCCCGGCCCTCGGCCGCGCGGGTTGCCGCTGCCCGCCAGGGACCTGAACATCCGAGGACAGAAATCTGGGAACGAGAACTGGCCACCACCGCTTTCCCGAGCGCTTCCTGCAGCACCTGCACGGTGGTTTGGGGCTGCTTCTCTGAGGTCTGGCTGGGAAGGGCGGCGAGTGCGCCAAGGAGGCGTCTTAGGCACCTGCAGCCAGTGCTCTCCGCCTCTGCGCGGGTTCCCTGGGGGTGGAGGAATGAGAAGGGAGGGCTGACCCAGCCCGGAGACTCTGCCACTGCCGGCGCTGGAACACCTCCTGGTACTCGGTGTGCCCTGGCCCTTGGGGTCTTGGATGAGAGCCCCCCTCTTCCTCACCAGACGGAGAAGCCGCCCTTTGCCAAAACCCAGGCAAGACTGGAGTCCTCACCTTGCCTGTGCTACCGCCCCCTCCAGGCATTTGACCTCCCCGTGTCCCCAATCTGGAAGGGCGCCGCCCTAGAATTCTCCCAGGGAGCACAGTTCTCAGGCCACAGAAGGTCCGGGTCCATGCTCCGCAAGCCTTAGCCCTCTCTCTACCAAGGCTGCACTGGCTGCACTGGCTAACCTTAAGCAAAGCAGCCGTATACATGAAGAATATAAATCGTGGGCATGAAAATATGAAATCCCAAGGGGTGATTAATCAGGGAGACACAGTAGGTAATCAAATAAAAAAACACATCCTTGATCCTGAACCAAACTTTGTGGGTGAAACTGATGACCTTGTAACAAGGTTGGGTGTTTAACCTTCCCGGAAGACTTAATACATACCTTACAATGTAATCGTCACAACAGCCCTCTGTATTACTAAAGAGTATTGCTTATCACCCTCACTTTACAGGTGAATGCCTAAGGTTTCCCAGTTTGTCAAAGTACACAGAGCTACCCAGGGAGGACTGGAACCCAGAGCCAATAGGAGCCCTCTTCATAGAGCAGTGGGAAAGAGGTTGGGAAACAGCTTCCCCAGCAGGCAGGAGGGACAATGCCCTGACTTTGGATGGTTCTGGACCTCATTTCCCTCAGGCATGTGCTGAAGGAGTTGGACCAGACTATGTCTACAAACTTGCTCCTCTGCAATGAGGCAGGAAGGGGCAACCCTGAATTACAAGATAGGTTCTCAGGAAACATGAAGGACAAGGGAGGCTGAGTTTAACTCCTGAAGAATACCTTGGACAGCTCCAGGGGAAACTGGCCAAATTCTTCCTGCCCTAATTCCTCTTTCTAGGCTTCAGCAGACACCACCTCATTGGCTAAGTGGAGCGTTTTCTTCTCTCCAAGCTGGAGGAGCTCTGCCTGGGCAGAGCTCGCCTGAGAATCTCCACCAAAATCAAACAAACAAACAAAAATCCATAGGACAATGTAATCTCCAGATGCTTACTCAGCTGGTGTCTCACTTGACGTCACAAATATCCTCTAGTCATAAACTTCTGGCATCTGCCATCCCTCAACCTTTCAGCTCAGGTTTCTGAATGAGCATTTTTACTTTTTTCTTTTATTTCCTTAGCTATTTATGATTTCCTTGTAATTTGTACCAATATAGAGAATGTGCTGACACCTCCATCTGGGAATAAGCTGAAAGCTAGGAGAACTTTGCTTGTCATTTACTAAGTGGTTGAAGGCCCCAATGGGCAACCTGCCTTTCTTGTCCTCTGTCTCCACTTATGAGGTGTCCAGGCCCCAAGACACATGGCCTGGGACCAGCACAGACCCTAGGAGCACCAGACTCACTCTCCATCAGCCTGGATTCAGGCCAAGCTCTGATCTCATGCCCACTTCTGATGTCTGGGCCTCCCTCTGGCTCACAGGTCCCACCCTGGCCTGTGTTCCAGTTTGAGTAACTGGATCCTTGGTGCGCTTCTTGGTGGTGAGTTCCTGCCTCAGCCACCAACCGCAAGTCCATATTCCTCTAGAACTACAGTCCAGCCTTTTGCTTTATGATAATCATTTGTTCCAAATGTTTTACAATGTCTACCATGTGCTGGGCAGTGTCTTAGGAGCTGAGGACACAGGAATAAATAAGCCAAACTAAAATCCTGTTCTCATAAAATTTAAAATCTAGTGGGAGACAATAAACAGAAATAAGCATAAGATATTTTGTCAGTTTGTGAACAATAATAAAGCAGGAAAAAGGATTGAGATTGACCTGGTGGGATTGCAATTTAAAATAGGGAAGTCACACTGAGGTGACTTTTCAGCAAAGGCCAAAAGGAGGTAAGAAAAACCTGCAAGTGATGTTCCCAATAAAGGAACAGCATGGCAAGGGCTCTAAGACAGTCAGAAAACCAATTGGCTGGGGTGAGCAAGAGGAAAAACAACAGCACCCAAGGTCAAAGGCAGAGGGAATCAGGTAGGACCTAGGCCTTGTCAGGACTTTGGCTTGTACATGATGAAGTAGGAACTACTGGAGGATACTAAGTGGAGCAGTGACATGATCTGATATATTTTAACATGAACTCTCTAGCTCTCAAGTGAAGAATCATTGGTATAGAAGCATGGAAACTGATTAGGATATTATTATACAATAAGCCAGGTATGGTGGCAAGTACCAGGTGCAGGCAGGAGGTGGTGAAAAGTAGCTAGGTTAAGGATTTTTCTTCTTCATAGTAGTGAGAATAAAATGCATTGGTGGATGCCAAGACCTAGGGCTGTGGTAAACACTGATCCTTACGAGCTCCTCTACCTTGCAAGAGATGTAGGGGCTTTAGAAAGCAACATGGTCAGAGGTACACACCTAGGAAGTGATGAATATCACCTCAGATCTGTATGGCTTCAATTCTCATCTTCCAAAACCCTACCTCCTTCGCAATCCTTTCTCCCATGTCCTCTTCCTACACACAAGAACCAGAACCTGGTCTCCAAACCACAGTTCCGAGTTGGTCCTGAGACATGGTGCCTTTTCCCTTTCTGGGATTTTGGGACACTGTGGTCCATGGACTGCTTAGAAGAAGGAACCCTATCCCTTTGAGCAGGACAATAGCAGGAGGCTAAACAGGCCTCCTCCTGCTGTCTGTCCTTCCATATTGGGCTGGACACCCCTTGCCACCCCAGAGCCAGCTACCCAGATCTGCCTTCCCAAAGCTGCCTCCTCTCAGGACTGGGTTCAGTTTCCAATACCTTATTCCCAGTCTGACCTGTCACCCATGCTGCCTCTCTTCTAACTCCCATTTATAAAAAATCACAAGCTATGTTTGTAAACATCTCCCATGTATTTCTTATTCATGTTTATATTGAAATGTTTCAACAAAGTAGCTCAGCTGGATTTTTAAAAGTTCATTATTTGTTTTCATTTTTTAAATGGATAAGTTATGAATGATGGCTCCAAACAAGATTAGTTGAATGAATCGAAGTTGCTTTTCTCTTTTCACAAGGCATGTTTTTTAAACCGTAAAATTGAGTTTCAGGCATCAGATGTGGTCTGGTGACACAGTTTGAGTAATAATAATGGCTACTATTTATTAAACACCTACCTCCTCTGTGCCAGACACTTTGGTTTGCATCATCTTAATCTTCATGACTACCTGAAAAATAGGTGTTAGAATCCCAGTTTTGCAAATTATGAGACTGAGGTCCAGATGGATTAAATGATGTGTCTAATGATACCCGGCTTATGAGACCGAGGTCCAGATGGATGAAATGATATGCCTAATGACACTCAGCAGAGACAATGACAAAGCCCAAAACCAGTCTGTCTAACCCCAAACTCCTGCATGTGCCTCTACTCTACATGCCTCTCCTTGAAGATGCCCTTATGTGACTGGAGAGAAAATAGTCTTAAAGAAGCAAAGAATGCTTCTGAGGATCAACACCAGAGAGAGGTAAAATTACTTGGCCAGAGTCCTCCACTGAGTTAGACATGAAACTAATTCTCCTTCTGCTTATCAGGGGAAAGTGTCTGCTTAGAGACAGTCTGTGACTAAATCCTTCAGGAGTCAGTGCTAAGCTTGGGGTGGACCAGCAGAGCCTGGAGCCTTCTATTCTATTCCTGTTCCTCGTGTGGTTTGAAGAGAGTGGAAAGATGGCTCCATGACATCTGGACAGGTCCTAAGTGAACATGGGCAGGAAATTTAGCTCATAACAGACTGGCAAAGGGACACAAAGCCCCTCTCATTTAGAGGTTTCAAAAACAGGTCCTTTGCAAAGGAGATCATGGATGGATAAAAGGCACGGTTTAGGAACAGAGCCCTATTTGGGAAGAGTCTTGTCAAGTCTCTGGTCCACAAATGCACCAAACCTAAGTGGCAATGGTGAGTTTTTGAGTCAATAATTCTGGGTTCAAGTTCTAGCTTACCAATTATTAGTGTTGCAATTTTGGGTAAGTCACTTATAGTTTCCTTATCTGTAAAGTGAAAATAAATGATTCCTCTTTCACAATAACAAGGTTATTGTGTGGCTTAATTAATAAAACAGCAACTAATATATATT